TACAGTGGTACTGCTTATAATTCAAACCAAAAGATGTTCCTCCTACGTGTCTTTGATTGCTGGGAGCCAAATCTGGCAAATACGGTGGATGTGGGAGCAATTTGAAGTTCAATTCATGTAGTTTTGCCATTGTTTTGATTGATTTGTGACACAGTGCGTTGTCTTTATGAAACACTTTTTTTTTCTTTGCCATATGCGGTAATTTCTTTGCAATTTCGGCCTTCAAACGCTCCAGTAATATAATATAATATCCGCTAATACCCGCTATATAATATCCACTGGTATTTTCCTTCTCAAGATAGTCGATGAATATTACATCACGCACATCCCAAAATACCGGGCCCATAACCTTTCCAGCAGATTTTTGTGCTTTCGGGCGCTTTGGACGAGGTTCACCAGTTTCTCTCCACTGCTCAGAATCATCAAGACGTTCTTGTTTTTGGTCAACAGTGAGCTCGCGCCGCACCCTCTTTGAACAGTATATTCCAATAATCGAATGCCCATGCAATATAAAGCAAAAACGTTCTTTACAATATCAACTAACTCACGCACCTTCCCTTTTCTATCATTTAAAACGGTTTTGAACCGGTGTTAACCGAATAGGAACAAAAATCTTATATAGTGTGGCCGTTTTTCGAGTTTGAAAGCCGTGGATATTTGGAATTTTTTCCTGACGTTTCGCTGGCGCGAGTTGCTAGCTTCTTCAGAGGTCTAACCATCATGGCTTGCTAACTTTTAGGCTTCGTAAAGCGTATTTATGCCTTGTCAGGTAATCAGTTGTATTGGTACCTGTATTTGTACCTGTACTTGTACCTGCACTTGTACCTGTACTTGAACCTGGAACATTAACAATCTTGCTGCCTGTTGTCATTTTGTTCGTTATTCTCGAATTCCTTAAAATGGGGTTCCATATTCGATTGAGGTTCACCGCTTCTTCTTTTCTGTTGAAATTCTCCGTGTATTTGTGGATCTCTATGGCCTCCCGTACCAGTCGGCTATGGTATCCATAGTTGGGGGCAATCACTTCTGTGTTTTCAAACAAAATTATGTGGTCTCCTTCACTAAGTGCGTGTTCTGCCACAGCTGACTTGTCCGCTTAGCCTAGTCTGCAGTTCCTTTTATGCTCTTTCAGTCTTGTTCCCATGGATCTTTTGGTGGTTCCGATATACACCTTCCCACAAGTGCACGGTATGCGATAGACCCCTGCTGCTGATAATGGGCCTCTTTTGTCTTCAGCCGACCTGAGGCTTTGTTGTATCTTCCTTGTGGGTTTGAAGACTGTTTCAACGTCGTGTTTATCCAATAGTTTTCCAATTCTGTCCGTGACCCTAGGGATAAACGGTAGATATGCGCGTGCAACCATCTGATCCTTTTTCGCTTTTTGAACTGTGGTGCCCTTCGGTTTCATGGCTTTCCTGATCTCGGAGGCACTGTATCCATTCGATCCCAAGGTCACTTCAAGGTATTTCAGTTCCCTCTCCAGATGTTCTGGTTCACATATTCTCCGAGCCCGTTCCGTTAGAGTGGAGATGACTCCTCTCTTTTGGCTAGGATGGTTGTTCGATAGTGCGTACTAATACCAACAGAAGTGCTGATGAATTGCATACTCCCCAAAACGGTATTCCATAACGTAGGTGGGATTCAACGAGGGCGTAGTACACCGTTCTGGCAGTCTTGATTCCCAAATTTATTGAAGTTACTCTCACTGCATAACATCCAGAACAAATTTTACTTTCAAGTTGTTTAATATGCTCAATAAATTTGAGCTTATTGTCAATGTGAATACCTAGAAATTTAGATTGAATCTCGTTCTTGATCACTAAGTTATCACCAAATAACAGGTCATCAAGAGCAGATCTGAAATACCAGGATAAAGTACCAAAGTAAATTTTTGAAATCATATATGCACAATAAATAACTACAATTAAAAAAGTGAATTTGTGCAGAAAAAAGTATGAGGCAAGATGGAACAATGTTTGAAAGTGACGTGTTGAATAAAATCATGTGTATCTTGATCGTTTTTTGGCGCAAAAAAGGTGGAATATGATAAAGTTAGAGCGCTGCGTGTCTTGTTCATCATTTCACGTAATAACAAACAAACATTTTCTCAAAATCATCTGTCGAATATTCACACTGTATGCGTGACTCAAGCCCCCGCTTCCCTCCTTCAGTCCCCAGCGCACGCCCCTGCCACTAAAACTTTCAGTCTTGTAATACTGTCCGGACCATCGAACGGACAGGCTCAGGCAGTGGTTTTACTGGGTGACCGTCGATACACAACGATCCTCGAAGTCGACGTAGAAGCGAACAGCTTCATCTCGCGGTTCTCGAGAACGCGAAGAAACGAGAAGTTGAATTTCTTCGGGAATCTACCTGAGACAGCTCTTGCGTGACTTAAAAGTGCGATATTTCGTGAAATGTTCCTCTTTGAAAGATGTTTGATGGGATTGTTGTGAGTGAAACACTTGTTGTTGCTTGGTAACTTCGCCAAAGGTGTTAACACCCACGTCGGATTTGTGTTGGTGTGAAGTGGCCTTGTTTGTGGTGGTGCAAAGGTGGTTCTCTGGAGACACGGGCTTTTTGCGAGTGTAGGCTTCCGTGTTTCAGCTCGGTTCAGTCATCACGTCGGAACTTTTTGCTTCTGGTAAGAGAATAACCAGTTTTTCTTTACTTCAAAAACTCGTGGCCTTGTTAATGTTAATTCAAACCCTGTCCATCTGCCATTGAACGGAAAATGTATGCAGCAATTCGTGTTCTGATAAGAGCAGCAAACATTTCTAATTACTTCAATGTCTTTCAATCTTCACACAGGTGTGTGTCACCATCGTCGGAGGGCATTACTCTCTTAGTCAACAATCGCGATGAGTCAGGTAGAAACCACCTACAGCAGGGTCGAATTGAAAGGGCATTTCAAGTTTTTGTTCGTGTAACGCTGAAGGTCGTTTGAATCTATTTCTATAGAAATCTATTGTGAGTTTGGTTGTAAAGACGTTCTTCAATTTACTCTTAGCAAACAAAACCGTTCTAGAAATTCCAATTTTAACGACTTTTCTTAAATTGACATTTGACAAACTGAAAGAAAATTATTGATGTTCTATGATGGACGAAGAAATAGTGCCAATTGAAAAAAAATCTTTCCAGTATACCAGCCGAAACTTTTCAAAATATGTCTGCTTTTAAATCTGTCAATTAATTACACTTTTGAAATCTGTCAATTGACAGAGGCACATTTGCGGTGTCATATAACACCTTTGTCAATCGTCATGTTTACAATATGAGTGATAATTGCTTACATGTGTAAATTTCTGTCAGATATACTTCAATGAGCTTCTAGGTATTAGCCAGGAAAGTTGTTGTTTTTCGCCAGATCCTAGCCAGTGTAGGGACGATCTAACGCCACTTTTCCTCAATGGTGAGGTCATTCCATTTGGAACGGGGGTGAAATATCTTGGCATTGTCCTTGAAAAAAAAATCACCTGGAACGCTCTCTTGGAAAACGTTTTACACAAAGCCAGACTGTCCCTATGGACATGTCGAAGGATTCGTGGTAAAACTTGGGGTTTAGGTCCCAAACAAATCCATTGAATTTGTGTGATGATTGTTCGACCTGGTGGCCGAAAGCTTTACAGCTTTCTGGCCATGGCTTGTCTGGCCATCGGTGGTGCCATCAGTACCATACCGTCAGCAGCCATGGAGATCCTTCCAAATCTACCTCCTCTCCACATTTTTCTGGAGAGAGAGGCCGGATGGACTGCATACAGACTTGTGCACATTGCCAATTGCACAAATCAGTTTAATACAGAGTGCAACAGACTGTTGGTTGAACTGTCAAGTACGAACTGACTTATAAAGTACTGTTCCCGAGTAGAGAGGACTGGACCCTCCGGGAGAAGGAAATATTCCGGTTCTGGTGCAGGTGTTTTCAGTCGCAGACCCAGGACAGAGATATCAACCTGCCTAGGAACCTATGCGACTTTATTTCAAGCGGAAATTCACGCTATTGAATTGAGTGCGGAGATATTGTAAGAATCCAACCTGATACTGAAGTCAATAAAAATATTCTCGGGCAGTCAAGCGGTGTTGGAAGCTCTTGGATCCTTGCAACAACGTCTAAATTGATAGCAAATTGCCAAAAACGACTCTCCTGGATAGGAAGACTTAACAGATTGTCTCTGGTCTGGATTCCTCTGGCCTGGAAGGCAATGAGACTGCTGACTCTCTTGCAAAGGAGGGTGCTGCAAGCATCTTCATCGGACCAGAACCTGTCATTGGCATCGCTTTAGGCTTTGCCAAACAAACTTTGAACACCTGGACGGCAAGAAGATTTATGGACTTCTGGTAGAATCTTGGAATAGACTCACTTTGGACCTAACCTAACTTAAATTCAAGATGGCCGCAGCTACAAAATGGCGGATTACAAATTATTTCACAACTACTCCAATATGGGTATCAAAAACAACATGGTAAATAAATAACATAGAATTTTTTATATCAAACAATTTTATTGAAAAAAAAAGATAATAAAATAATGATTAAGATAATGTAAAGCGTGTTTTTTATAGAGGTATAGAACTTTAAGTTGCAAGAAAACAACGATGGATTATTCGATTGACATGAATTTTATTTATCCGAAAGATAATCTTATGGCATTACATTTTAAATATGATTTCTGGCATATGACCGCCACGGCTGGCGCGGATGTAGTCCAATCTGGACGTCAATAACACGGCGAATGTTGTCTTCCAAATGGTCAAGCGTTTGTGGCTTATCCGCATAGACCAATGACTTTACATAGCCCCACAGAAAGTAGTCTAGCGGTGTTAAATCACAAGATCTTGGAGGCCAATTCACAGGTCCAAAACGTGAAATTAGGCGGTCACCAAACGTGTCTTTCAATAAATCTATTGTGGCACGAGCTGTGTGGCATGTTGCACCGTCTTGTTGAAACCACATCTCCTGGACATCATGGTTATTCAATTCAGGAATGAAAAAGTTAGTAATCATGGCTCTATACCGATCACATTGACTGTAACGTTCTGGCCACCATCGTTTTTGAAAAAGTACGAACCAATGATTCCACCAGCCCATAAAGCGCACCAAACAGTCAGTTTTTGTGGATGTAACGGTGTTTTGACATACACTTGAGGATTACCTTTACTCCAAATGCGACAGTTTTGTTTGTTGACGTAGCCATTCAACCAGAAGTGCGCTTCATCGCTAAACAAAATTTGCCTATGACAATTGGGAACAACGGTAATCTCGTTTTGGGCCCATTCGACGAATCTACGCCTTATTTGATGGTCGTTTGGCTTCAATTCTTGCACGAGTTGGATTTTGTAAGCACGCACACCAAGATCCTTCCGCAAAATCTTCCATAAAGTCGATGGACACAGATCCAATTCCTGTGCTCGATGGCGGATGGACTCCTCCGGGTCTTCCTCAATGCTACGCTGTACAGCAGCAAGAGCTTCTTCTGTACGCACCGTACGGCGTCTCTGGGGATGCGAGTTATCAATAAGAGTAAACGTGGTGCGAAAACGTTCCATGGTTAATCGAATTAACTGCTCTGATGGACGATTTTGTCGACGATAAAATGGACGTAGTGCGCGATACGTTTTCCGCACAGAACCATTATTTTCGAAATAAAATTGCACTATTTGCAAGCGTTGTTCAGGCGTGAGTCTATTCATGATGAATTGCCAAACCAAACTAAGATTAAATCACTTGACAGCTGTTAAATCGGTCGTCATCTTGAAAAGTAATGCCAACTTAAAGTTCTATACCTCTATAAAAAACACCCATTACTAAAAGCTTTAAAATAATTCGGAAGGTCCTAGGTGGCAGTCATCACACCACTTTTTTCAGCAATCTACGGTATTGGTCAGATAAAAAAATCGTTGGGCGTAGTATTTACATTCAGGTTACGCTACGCTCAACGATTTTACTATTTTTTATCTGATCAGTACTGCAGATTGCTAAGGAGAGTGGTGTGATGACTGCTACCGAATTATTTTATAACGTTTAGTACATTATCTACATCATTATTATCTTTTTTTTTCATTAAAACATAAAAAAAGTGTTTACTTATTTTATTCAAACTTTAAAATCCTACTGCTTGGAAGTAAGTCATTACGAAACTTCAGTGAGAATCGAAAAATCACTTTTTTGCCGCACAAATATGTTCGAAATCAAACTAACCCTTAATCATTTTCGCTTTTAATGACGCAGTTCAGTGAGTCGCGGAAAATAATCTTCGATATGTGTGTTGTGAGCTGCACATTTCTCTAATATAAAATAAATTGAATGCGGTTGGGGTTTGATATTAACTTTTCCGCCTGGCACCACTCTTCAAACACGTATGGTGAAATGTAGATTGAAAGGTCATAGTACAAACAAGTATTAGTTTGCACGAAAGTTTTATTCATGGTTATCGTGCTTCCAACAAAACACCTCTATTTCATGGAGAATATAGGAAGTTTATCGTGCGGAAATTGTTTTGGGATGTTTGTATTTTTCCAAATGTTTGACTTCGATAATCATAAACGCAGTGTAAACTTCAACTTACATTTCATCACTATAATTATGTTGCTTTGGATTTTTATATTTTCACAGGTGAAGGAATAAAAAATTTATTAGATCTCATAGAGAGCCAAGCTCCTCGCGTTAAAGCGTGTAGACACAGCTTTACGTTACAAACCCTACCTTATAGTTGAAACATACGCCTTCGCCCTTTCTTTACTCCAGATAAGCTCCAGATAAGCTCAGGAGATCCAGATCAACTGTTTATATCCAACACAGTAAATTTTCACTTATATATCATTTATCTCAAGTACCATTTATCGGGAAGATTCCTGTTATTTTCAGAAAAGTAGTTTATGAAATAGATATCGACTGATTAGAACGGGGAAAGTTGACGCTTTTCATAGTTTTCATATATACTACATCAATTTTCAGACTTCTGAAGCTCAACAATTTCAAGCAATTTTTCTTCAGTTTTTGTCCTTTCTCGGTATGTTCAAAAACACATTGCTTGTAAAGAAAAACCTGTGTTTGTATTTAGTGACGTCACAAGTCTCTTTGATTTGTATGCAGTGTCAGTATGTTATCAAATGAGAACTTGAAATAGACGCTATTGGAATTTAGGCTCTGACAAGCAGCCTAAGCCTCGAAGAGAGTATTGAATCTCCAACAACTCAAAAACTGCTCTAAAACTGCTTCATTTCTTTATTTTCTCTCGTCTCGTGATTGAATTGGAGATTCCTGGACAGAAGGATTGATATACCTAAAGGAAGCAATCGAATGGCCACCAAGTACACCGGATTTAATTCTCTTAGACTTATTTTTCACATGATACCTTAAATCCATTGTTTACGAAACAACCTGCTGATACTGATCATTCTAAATCACCAGAGATGGTCAAGAATAGACCGTAAAACTATTCATTCATAGAGAAACATTTTAAACAGTTTGTTAGATTTTAGATATTATGTCTCTCTAGGCGGTATAACTAGAAGACGACGAGACCATGCCCTTCAGCTCGGTTACTTTTTCTTTATATTATACTTATTAACTATGTTCAATCGTAATAACGATGTAACCTTCAGAAAAATGAAAAGGTATTTTTAGAAACTTTCATTAGGCGAATAGTTCATAACAGTTACTTGGTTGCTAATTAAACGAATTATTTTAATGAGAGAAAATTACCATTACACATAAAAAAATTGAGAAAGAATTTCCCATTGAATGTACCGTGTGTCTATTGTAATATTTTCAATAACAAATTACAAATACGAATTCATTCCAGCATGAGTAAAAGGAATAGTAACAGTGCAATCATTGAAAAAGGAAATTTAACATCAACTAAGTAATAATCTCAACAAATGATTATATGGATAGCGGTTTTTCTTCAACCTGGTCTAACAGACAGTAAAAATAAGGATAATTGAAACTTGGTAAATGAACTGAACAATGAAACTGAAAAGGGTAAACAGAAAAGGAGAAATTTCAAGAATGATTAAAAGTAGGCTGTTCCTATAGCTATTCTGGAGTTTACATATCATATTTCCAAAATTTTCAACGAGACATTCACATATTCATTATACATTGACAAGCCTGTATCTGTAAAATGATTTTATCGACTACACCAGAATACCTACATTGCCTTTTGGAGCTACTGAGCAAGGTTTGGAGCACCTTAGAAAAATCGTAGGATTGTCAACAGATACCGTAGGATGGATTAAGGTAATAGAACCTCCACCATTTTGGGATACACCTACTCAAACTCGTCTAACCAATTACTCCATTTTTAGCACTAATTACTCCATTTGGCACATACACAGAGTATTTAGTGATTTCTTCTGGTAGTTCTACTATTGAAGTCTCCTGATATGTCTCCTGGTAGTTGAGTCCATGTGAAGTCTTCTGGTAGTGAGGTATCCTGGTCTCCTATCCTGGTCTTCTAGTTTCAAAGATACCGTAGGTTTTTCCAGCTCAAAATAGCTGATATTTTCAGTTCAATGCAAGTCTTCAAATTAAATCAGAAGAAAAAACTGTCATCATCATAGATGCTGATCTCTTTTCACCATCACTTTAATTTCTGGCTGTTTCTTTTTCCTCTCTGTGTTGCACAAGTTAGATATCAATATTGTCTAAATCTATTCTGGTATGCATCAATGACCTATAAACGAAGATAATCACAATAATTCATATTTCAAATCCATACAAATTGTGGATTTTACTGCATCATTATCTAGATTTACTTCATAGGAGGGGTCACCAAATGTCAAAAATATGGATCGCCATATTTTTGACGTCATTGAAGGGAAAATAGCGCTAAATTTGAAATGATTTGGAATATATCCCGAATAATCCATGATATACTTTTTTCAATCATCCTGCAGAATCTTTCAGTCTAATGAACATCCCCAATAGTGTTTTCTTGAGTCATTATAATAAAGATATATTCTTATTGCAACAGTTGGATAATCATAAAAATATAATCTATGATGATTTCAGTTCAAAGTGATCCATCATCTTCAAAGGGTTATTAAAACTCTGAGACTATGTTTAAAAGTTGGTGATTCAGCATTAGCAAAAAACGATACGATATCGGATACGTTACTACTTTTGAAAATATCTGACTTGTGGGAACCATTTTTTCCATAGTACCACAAAATACTANCTCAAGAAAAACCATTTTTGCGTTTTTCTTCTTTGACGCACCATTTCAAACCTCATCAGAATTCCATTTTATGCTGGGACATCCTCTATGATTAATCACACTCATGTCTTTTCCAGGGCTATATCTGTATGTATTAATATTCACGAATATTTTGTGGCACTCCCGATTTCCTGCTAGATTGACGTCCGTGACTGCATTCAAATGTTAATGTGTTCTGTATGTTGAGAATTTCAAAATAAACACAACTCGGATTTTATACTTCAAATTGAGGTCGAATGCTTTGTATATTGTTCAGATTTATTTCCAGTCTCAGGTTTTGAAATACAAGGCAAATCAAAGAGAAAACTCCTTAGTTTTTTCTTATTATTGTGAGAAATGCAAGAAAAATTATTCGAATATTTTACTGAATGAAATAAAATGTTTCAACTCAAGCATGGTACAGATATGAACATTTGTTGGATTTTAGAATCCATTGTGAAACATAAACATTGGTGCAATCGGTACAAGGAAGACACGCACTGAATGTTAATAATTATTATCGACGGAGTGAGTCATTGAACTTTACATTTCCCCGTCTATTTTTATAGCGAAATGTCAAGCCGAACTACCAGGAAGCCATTGAAAATCGGAAGGTATGTGAATTCGCCGAAAGAAGACTGTAAACTTCCAGATGCTCTGAAAGATTTGGAAAGTATCACGAGTATAGCCCTTATGACCCATATACAATTTCATAGTTAGAGGAATGCGACAGAAATACTGGGATGGGGCTTCTGCAATGTGTCAGTGTGAAGATAGCGGTGACTTTCTAGCAGCCGTTGGTGCTTGTGGTCAAAGGCGTAGGGAAAAATTTGAAGTGGAAGTATTTTCAATATAGTCCAAACTGAAAACTCTAAAGCAAATTCAAATCCAAGATAGAGTGGATGTAAACATTGACATGCCCTACGCACGTGATATTGAAAATCCCAAGAATTGGCCAGGGTCGTATTCAGAACCAACATCTTGTTGATCGCAAATGCTATATCATACTTAGGAAAACTTTTTTATAATAACGAGTGAAATGCACAAGTTTTGCAGTTTAACGGGAAAAATGCA